CGAGCTTGGATGAGCAGGAAGGGAGTTTCGATGTTTAAAGTAAGTTGGTATCGTCTTTAGCGTCACCTGGGAACGGTGTTTTGTGAGAAAGGCTTTGCATCATGGTTATTGATTCTTGATCGCTTTTCAGCGTTCGTGCGACCGGTGGTATGGATGTGCAAACTTGTTATCTATTACAGAAGATCGTGGGAGCGATCCCCACGGGAAGATTGTATAGGTATGGCACATAGTTACTTGATTGGTTGGAGAATGAAACCAAGTATGGAGATTGTGGTGACATCGTAAATTTGAGTATTGATGCCTAGAGGGCACTCAATTTATTGGGTTATGGACTGTGGATGATTACTCCAGTTATGATGGTTGTTCTTATGTGTTATGAGAGAAAGGGGAGTTATGATAGACGTTTGAAAGGTTATTAGCCTAGTTCAGGGTGCGATCAGGATCAGCTAGAGGTCTGTGGATGGATTCAAATGTGAATATGGGGCTCTATATCAGGCCAGATATGTTTATTTCAATAATGCGCTCCTTATGGAAGAGTAGTCGGGGTGTTATTTCGTCGCCAGCTATTTCAAGTAATGATATATTGCGCCGTGTGAGTTGGGAGACGGCTTGGGAAATTGCTTATGTGTTGAGGTTCCGCGTACTGATGATGTAATGTGAGCAGGAGGGCTCTCGAGATTCAGATCATATATCTCACCTCAGTTGTGCTTCGTCTCCCCAGGGATAGTATTATGCACTTAGCGTGCTTGTGACCGATATTCAATATTTTGTTGTAATGAGCAATTTAGCTTGATGTGTATCTCCGTATGTGAGTTATATGTGTGGATCGGGTTGCACGCCGCAACAGTGTGATGTTGAGTACAGTTCCCTATATCTGTTTTTATGTGTTTTGTTTCCTATTTTTCTAAGGAAAACTTATATTAGTTGTGTGCCCGCGTCGCATGTATGGTTCGCGAGCGGTGTAATTGGATATCCTTTTCAGAGTTCATTTTCCTTTTATATCACGTTCGAATTAGTAGCCCATTGGCACGTTGGGGCATCATATAAGACTTTTGACCATGTCTGGGGTGGCTTATTTCCTGAGCAGTTTGTACTGGGTGAGACGAGATCGTTGGACTTAGGATCAGTGCAGTCTGAATATATGAAGTATATTAAAGAGCAAAGACCATTATTTGGTTCAGAAAGATGTGATTGTTCTTGGCAGGGTATAGACCCTAAGAATCGTTGATTCGGCAGTTGGTTATGAATTCCTACACATCTCTTCCGTCGTGGCGGTATTGTAAGAGTTAAAGAAAGACTTAGGTAGGTCATGAGGTGCAAGGGGAGCATCAGATTTGTGGAAATTTTGATTTGTTCGATCAAAGAATGCTATTGTGGTCCTGTGAGTAAAGTGGTGCAAGGTGTGAATTCAACTAAGATATGCAGTCATGTTTTGGTGCTGCGTGTAGTTATTGATACTGTGAGCGTATGTTTGAACAGACCTGACAGAGAATTTCGGATGATGGAATTGGGCTCTAAGGCTTATTTGCTGAAGTGGAAAAGGAAATCTTCAGAATTGCTCAAGCTAATGTGCTCAACTGGGTTGTGGTAGAAGGGTAGGTGCACAAGGTGTTTAACAGTGATTCCAGACAACACAGTTTCTAGCACGTTCGAGGACGAATGTATGTTTAAGTGGGAGAGGATGTAACGACCCGACCGGTTGTTCTGAGCTCTAACGCGCCGTTCAGCAGTTTGAGGCCATGAGTAGCTTCAATTCAGGCATTATGACTAGTACGCATGGTCGTAATTGAATTTCGGAAAGTTCGGAGTTGACTTGGAGAGGAAATTCTCATTTCGGGAGCTTTAAGTTGAGAGAATTGACTAGGATGGGATTTCAGAGAAAACGACTTTGGAATCGGGATCTGAAGGTTCCAGTAGGTTCGTATGATGATTTTGGACTTGGGCATATGCCCGAATCGGGTTTTGGATGACCCGGGATCATTTTGGCGCCTATTGTGGAAGTTATCAATTTGGAGGAAATTTCATAAGTTTGGATTAAAGTGCATTTCAGTGTTATTGATGTCCGTTTGGGATTCCGGGTTTGGGAGTAGCTCCGTATGGTGATTCTGGAGTTGGGAGCGCGATCGGAAGTGAATTTGGCTTACCGTGGGTCATTTTTGAGTCATTTGGCTAAAGATAGAAATTTGAAGGTTTTTGAGAAGTTTGACCGTAGGTGGACTTTTTGTTATCGGGGTCGGAATCCGATTCCGGAAGTTGGAGTAGGTCCGTATTGTCGAATATGACTTGTGTGCATAATTTGAGTCAATCGGACGTGATTTGATAGGTTTAAACATCGAAAGTAGAAGTTTGAAATTCTAAAGTTCATAAAGCTTGGATTGGAGGTCGATTCATGGTTTTAGCGTTGTTTGATATGATTTGAGGCCTCGAGCAAGTCCGCAATGTGTTTTGGGACTGGTTGGTATGATTGGTTGGGGTCTCGGGGGCCTCGGGTGGATTCCGGGTGGTTAACGGATCGAATATGGAATTCTTGAAAGGCTGAAGTTGCTGGTTGCTGGTTTAACTGGGAGACTTGGGCCACAGAAGCGGCCCTGTGGTCGCAGATGCGGTATTGGCGGGGAGAGTTGGGCCCGCAGATATGGTCATTTTGCCGCTGAAGCATAACCGCACCTGTGGGTGCTGAGGCGCTGAAGCGAAAAGGGCAGCCTGGAGAGAAACCGCAGGAGCGGTAAAGGGACCGCACCTGCGGAGCCGCATCAGCGGTCGTGTGACCGCAGGTTCGGAAGTGCTGGAGGTAGAATGTTCATTTAAAATCGGGGGTTGGTCATTTTTCCCCCATTTTTCATTGGGTGTGGATGATTTTGGAGAGCTTCAAGTGGGGGTTTTCATCATCAACGATAAGGTAAGCTAATCCCACCTATCTTGAGTTAAATATATCGATTATGTATGGATTTTAGCATGTAAATTGGTAGAAATTTGGGGGTTTGAGGAAAACCTAGAAAAATTGATATTCTTGGAATTTGACCACGATTTTGGGTATGAAATTGAGAGTAAGTTATATATTTGAGTTCGTGGATTTATAGGTAAGCGTAATCTTCGAAATTTTTTAGAATCCGGGCACGTGGGCCCTAGGGCGTTTTTGTTAACTTTTTGATCGGGGTTAGGAATTGTTATAAATTGGATTGTAATGAGTAATTGAGCATATATTAAAGGTTTTGCATAATTATTGGCTAGTTTGGAGAGTTGTGCATCAATTTGAGTCTTCAGAAGGGCGTGGAAGGCCAGTTATGGATCTTCGGAGCGAGGTGAGTCTCCCTTCTAACCTTGTAAAAGGGAATTGTCCCCATAGGTAAAATAATTGGTTATGTGCTCCAATTTATGGGGGCTACGAGCGCACGAGGTAACGAGAGTCCGTGCGTAGCTACTAATATGTGTAAGTCCGGATAGTCTAGGACCCAAAAGCATGCTATACTTGGAATATCTCTAACCCTATTGACAGTTGAATTGCTTAAATCCTATCAAAATTGGTAAATGAACTTCTAATAAGAATTAAACTTCATTTTTCCTAAATTGTTAAAAGAGAATTGGTTTTCTTTGGATATTATTTCCTGATGACTTCTTGATTGACTGTTTGTGCGTGTTTAAGTTCTGGAACAGGTCGAACGCCTCGGTAGATTAAATAGATGCATCTATTGTTCGTGTCGCTCGACCCTCGGCAGTGCACATTTTACATTTTATGTTGGATCGGGCCGTACGACCTCGGCATGAGTTGCGCATGCTTGTATTGCTTGCCTTGAGATTTATTGATATTGCTATCTGCTCTCCCCGACTTGAGATAATTGTTAATTAATGGATTATGAATCCGGAGACTTTTAATAAAAAGGAACTTTTACCTGTTTAGTAATTCATTTGAACCTACTGTTGTCCTTAATAAATCCGTGAGTCATTGTTTTAATAATATTATTGTTGGACCATTAGTAAGTGTCGAAGTTGCCATCTCGTCTCTACTTCTTCGAGATTAGGCGGGATACTTACTGAGTGCACGTTTTCGTACTCATTCTACACTTGCCGTGTATTTTGTTGCACAGGTACAGGTATTTCTACTGGCCTATTGGGCGCAGCAGCACGGGCGACCGGGAGACTAAGTGAGCTGTATTTCCTCGAGGCGACCCGCAACTAGTATAGTCTCTCTCAAAATTGTATTCTTTTTTCTGTCCCCTTTATGTTCCGGACAACTGTTGTACTTTATTCAAATTCCTAGAAATTACTCATGCACTTGTGACACCGGGTTCTGGAATGGTTATGCAGTTTTGTATTAATCGCTTATCATTTAATTTCATTTAAAACGATTATCCTTTATTAGTAAATTTGAAGGAAAAATCATAGATTTCAAGAGCATTAAAATAAAAATTTAATTAAGTATTTTGGGTTGGCTTGCCTGACAGTGGTGTCCGGCGCCATCACGACCCTTAGTGGATTTTGGGTCATGACAGGTATTATATGTTTCTACTCGTTAATACCTGTAGTTAATATACAATTGAAGTGAAAGAAAATAGCATAACGAGATATTTAGACTTCATAAATGTTTTGAAAGGGAAAATCTGGAGAAAGTGGTAAAATAAATATTAATTGTAAGGGCATTTTAGTCTTTTCAGTCTTCTTAATTACCGGTAGTTAGATGTCCATTAGTTAGTTAAGAGTTCAATTAGTTAAGTAAGAATATTAGTTAATTACCTAACTATTTATATATTGTCATTATAGAGATTTTTGAATTAATGGAAGAATATGATTTCATTATCTTCTCCACTGCTTCTCTCTCTAACTTCTCTCTAGCTTTCTTCTAGTCGATCTTCATCTTCTTCCTCTGAATTCTAGGGTTCATAACCTATAAATTATCCATTATTTCATGGTACCAGAGCCTTAGAGCTCGAGATTCAAGCTCGTGTTATCAATCTTTTACATTTACAGAAAAAACAATTCGAAAATCTTGTGAATTCTTGTCAATGGAGAACGAACAAGGTTTAGGTCATGGATCTGTTCCTCAACAACATGCAAGGGATCAATTGAACTCTGGAGTTGGAAATTCAACTATTGGAACTGGAAATCAACCAGCTGGAGTCGACTATAATCATCCTCTATTCTTGTCTCCAGCCGATGTGAGCGGTATTCAAATCATCTCATTTCAACTCACAAGTATTGAGAACTACTCAATATGGAATCGATCTACGCGTGCTGCGTTACTAGGAAGAAATAAGCTCGGTCTAATTGATGGTTCATGTAAGAAAAAAAAATTTCCCAAAATTCTATGGAATCACCGAGAGAGAGTAAATGCAATTGTACTCTCGTGGATTATGAATTCTGTGTCTAAAAATCTTCTTGGAGAGATTATGTATGCATCTTGTGCCCAAGTAGTTTGGGAAGATTTATTTGAGAGGTTTAATAAGGTAGATGATTCAAGGTCATTTAATCTGCATAAAGAAATTGCAACATTGTCTCAAGGTACTGCATTTGTTTCAGTATACTTCTCAAAACTTAAGGATATGTGGGAAGAGTTTGAAGCCTTGGTGCCTGCACCAGGTTGTGATTACCCTAAATATAAGGAGTTTGTGGTATATCTTCAAAAACTTAAGATGTATCAGTTTTTAATGGGACTTAATGACTCGTATGCCCAAACTAGAAGTCAGATTCTAATGAGGAGTCCAGTACCTACGGTTAATCAAGCTTATGCTATGATAATTAGTGGTGAAGGTCAAAAGTCAATAACAAATGCCACAGGAATTTTAGGTGCCAATCCTGCAATGATGTCAGGTAGTTCTGATGCAGTAATGTACTCAAGGTCCACAGGAAATTAAAGATTCAAGAAAAATCACTATGTTCAGTGTGACTTTTGTAAAGATAAGGGACATAACAAAGAAAATTGCTACAAAATAGTGGGCTATCCACCTGATTATAGACCAAAAAAGAAAGGGGGAGCAGGAACTAATGTTGCCTACAATGTCATGACCGACAATCTGGTGCAACAGACATATATTGCTTTTAATGATGCAAGAGGTTCTTTACAGAGTGTTAATATGAATATAAATCAAGGATATGAGGACAAAGGGTCTGTGAATGGACTCAATTTCAGCCAGTTGAATCAGATGACAGGATGCACATTCTCAAAAGAGCAATATGATCAAATACTTCAACTACTTAACAAGTCTGGAACTAGTCAGTCTTCAAGCACAATTTCAACTCCTGCAGCCAGCAAAGCAGGTATTAGTTGTGCTTTGTTGGTTTCCAATAGTCTTCAAGAGTGGATAATAGATACAGGAGCCACAAACCATATGGTGGCTAATTTGAATATGCTAAATAAGTCTATTGTGGTTCAGTCTGAAAAACCAAAGAAGATATTCATGCCAAATGGAGATATTTCCTATGTGACTCACACTGGTGCTAGCACTATATCATAAGGAAACACAATTACTAATGTGTTTTATGTTCCATCATTTAAATTCAATTTATTATCAGTATCTAAACTGACAAAGGAATTGTAGTGCTCAGCAGCCTTCTTTCCTGATTTCTGTGTATTTTAGGAACTCTTCAGTAGGAAGGTGAGGGTGATTGGTAGGGAGGATGATGGACCCTATATACTAGAAAGACAAGCTGTTGGAACATCTTTAGCAGTAACAACTGGAATAAAGGAAAGTGACCAGAGTAACTCAACTACAACAAAGGAAGTGGATCTTTGGCATAAGAGGTTTGGTCATGCTTCATCCACAGTTCTTAAAAAGTTACTTCACAGTAAAACTGATCTTATAGTTGATACTATAAAGCAATGTGTAGTTTGTCCTTGTGCTAAACAGTCAAGATTACCATTTCCTATTAGTAGCATTAAATCTATAAGCAAGTTTAGTCTAGTACATATGGATCTATGGGGACCATACAAGACTCACACATATAATGGTAATAAGTACTTCTTGACTGTAGTGGATGATTTTTCAAGAATGACTTGGGGGTATTTTTTCTTAAACAAAAGTCAGAAGTGTGTGTTTTATTACAACAGTTTGTGGTCTTAATTAAAACTCAGTTTGACAAAATTGTTAGAATTATCAGAACTGATAATGGTATTGAGTTTATAAACTCAGTATGGAGTGAAATGTTTAAGAAATTTAGGATTGTTCATCAAACTTCATGTGCTTACACTCCTCAACAAAATGGAGTTGATGAAAGGAAGCACAGTCACATTTTAGAGGTCACCAAAGCAATTAGATTACAAGCTGAAATACCTATAAGATTTTGGGGTCACTTTGTAACTGCTGATGTTTACCTTATAAACAGACTTCCAAGTTATATCATCAACAATAAGACTCCCTATGAAAAGCTATATCAGAACCACCTTGCTATATCACTAGAGTGCTAGGCTGTTTATGTTATGCAAAGTTAGTTCATCAACATGATAAGATATCCTCAAGAACCAAAACTGCAGTTCACATGGAATATGCAGAGACTCAAAAAGGATATCTATTGTATGACTTACATGATAGGGTCTTCTTTGTTAATAGAGATGTAGTCTTCAGAGAAGATGTTTTTCCTTTCAAAAAGAAAGAAGAATGTTCAATCACCTATATTTTCAACTTCAATCTTTCAGTTACAAGACCCTCAATGTTCAGTACCTGATTATATATAGGTACATAATCAGGCATTAGTTCAAACTCCAAATAATACTGTGGAAATAGAACTTGATCATATTCCTGAACCTATACAAGGTAGTCCTCAATTCTATGAAGAAAGTGAGAATCAAGTCATAGATAGTTTATCTCAAGAACCTCAAAATGGAGACTCTGAGAGACTTGAAATGTTAACTACATAACCTATACATAACACAAATCCAGTAGTTCGGACTGGATATAGAAGATCTGATAGGGGAAAAATACCACCTATATGGTTAAGTGACTTTGTATCACTTAATAATCATCAAGAAGTTTCATATCCTATATCAAACTACATTAATTATGAAGGCCTGTCTTCATCATACCAAGCTTTCATTGCCACCTCCTCAAGTGTTACTGAGCCTACAACTTATGCAGAAGCAATAAAAGATCCTAGATAGATAGAAGCAATGAAAACAGAAATTGATGTATTACAGAATAATCATACATGGGACATAGTTTCTCTACCTGAAGGAAAAATACAAACAAGGTGTAAGTGGATTTATAAAGTCAAGTATAAGGCTTCAGGTGAAATTGAGAGGTTTAAAGCCAGATTAGTAGCAAAGGGATACAGTCAAAAGGAGGGAATTGGTTATCAAGAAACTTTTTCCCCAGTAATTAAAGTGAAGACTGTTAGAACAGTTCTAGAAATTGCAGCAAAAGAAAAATGGCATATACACCAGATGGATGTGTATAATGCATTTCTTCAAGGAGATTTATATGATGAAATCTACATGGAGCTTCCACAAGGATTTAAGATCCAGGGGGAGAAGAATCCAGTATGCAGGCTCATCAAATCCTTGTATGGCTTAAAACAAGCCCCAAGACAATGGAATGCAAAGTTAACTGAAGCTCTAATAAAGCCTGGTTTTAAACACAGCCAGTTTGATCACTCTCTATTTATGAAGAAGACTTCTGACGGTACTACTATAATATTGGTGTAGGTTGATGATATGTTGATAACAGGTGATAGTTTGAAATTGATTGAAGAAACAAAAAATAATTTGCATCAAGTGTTTAAAATGAAGGACCTCGGTGAGCTAAATTATTTCTTAGGTATTGAGTTTTCAAGATCTAAACAAGGGATCCTACTCCTGATATTAACTCATATCAAAGATTGATAGGTAGACTGCTTTATCTAACAATGACCAGGCCTGATATTTTCTTCAGTGTTCAAACACTTAGTCAGTTCTTACAACAGCCCAAAAAATCACATATGGAAGCAACTATGAGGATTGTTTAATATATCAAGAACCAACCTGGAAGAGGAATTTTATTATCAAGATCAAATAACAACAATACTACTGCCTACTGTGATGTAGACTAGGCAACATGTCCAATTTCCAGAAAATCAGTAACATGGTACTTAATAAAGATTGGAGACTCATTAGTAGCTTGGAAATCACAGAAATAAACAACAGTATCTAGGAGTTCTGCAGAGACTAAATACAGAAGCATTGCAGCCACTAGGGGTGGGCGTTCGTGCAGTTCGGATTGCATATGAAATTTCGGTTTGGATTTTCAGTTTTCGGATTGACAAAATGACAATCCAAATAAGTTCGGATTGGATCGGATTTTTTAAGTTCGGTTTCAGATTAATCGGTTTGGATATTTTGGATTTTCGGTTTTGAGCTTATAACTTGAGATGTTTCTTCTTTTTACAATAATGAATATCCAAATGAAGTACTCATATTAAACTGTCTGAAAAGTTCTTCATTTTCACCGCAATCATCTAAATGAAATATTAAAGCAATGAAATTATTATATACAAAAATATTTAAAAAATACAATAATGATGTTAATACGACAAATAAGAAGTAGAAATAGTAAAACCATGTCCAAATAGAAAGTATTCTCATAATAACTTAGTAATTAATATTGAATATATATGATAATATCTAATGCGTATGGTATTGAACTTATTACTATTGACATATGGATAATGGACTAAATATAAAGTATAAGAATTTTGGATTTTCGGATATCCAAAAATTTGAAGTACCAAATCCAATATCCAATCCAAAATCCAAAATTTTAAAAAATTAAATCCAAAATCCAATCCGTAATCCAAAAATCCAAGACACCCCTAGCAGCCACAGTAGCTGAACTCATTTGGCTACAAGGACTCATGAAAGAAATTGACATTGAAGTAACCTTTACCTATTGAAGTATACAATGATAGTAAAGATGCTATTCAAATTGCAACTAATCTTGTATACCATGAGAGAACCAAGCATATCGAAATAGATTGCCAATTTATAAGAGAAAGAATAATACAAAGGTTGATAGTAACAAAATACATTCCTAGCAAATATCAGCCTACAGACATTCTTACCAAAGATCTCACCAGATTTCAACATGAACACCTAATGTCCAAGCTAGGAGTTCTAAATATTTTTTCACCTCCTAGCTTGAGGGGGGTGTTGAGAAAGGGGTAACATAAGTGTTAATTGTAAGGGCATTTTAGTCTTTTCAGTCTTTTTAATTACCGGTAGTTAGATGTCCATTAGTTAGTTAAGAGTTCAATTAGTTAAGTAAGAATATTAGTTAATTACCTAACTATTTATATATTGTCATTACACAGATTTATGAATTAATGGAAGAATATGATTTCATTATCTTCTCCACTGCTTCTCTCTCTAACTTCTCTCTAGCTTTCTTCTAGTCGATCTTCATCTTCTTCCTCTGAATTCTAGGGTTCATAACCTAGAAATTATCCATTTATTTCAGAAAATCGCACTGTGGATCATAAACTTATCAACTCAATGTTCAAGGATACCCTAATGGAAGAAATATTATAAAGAAGCAAAGAACAAATCAAGCTTATCCACCTATTTGATAATAAAATTGAAAAAATGGAAAGAAGAATAAAAACAATAAAAGGACATTATGAAAAAAGAAAGACACACAAACACACACACAAAAAAAAAAAAGAAGAAGGAAACTCAACTTTGGGAGTTCAGAGAAGCAGATTTTGCAAGAGTTGGAGAGAACTTCTTCTCGGTGGGTTTGCAGGAGTGTTAGATGGGTTAGGTTTGGGCCACTTCACGAGTTACAGTTGGGTAATTTTATTTCATGGGTTAAAATAAAATAGGTTCATCCCAAATCAACCCATCAGCAAAATCTTACAAGCCCAACCCGTTAAAAGTTAGACGGGTTGGGCGGGTCACATGGGTTTGGGTTTGTTTTGCCACCCTAAGAAGAATTATATAGTTTAACTTCATTCAAAATGAAACTCAAATTAAAATATTCTACATTCACCATTTCTTTTAAACTTTGTTGAATTGTATAAAACCTTTTCCTCTTTATGTTAACTCAGGATCACAAAATAGTATAACGAATGCTTTGCTAACTCATATCCCTAAAGTGGTGTAAACATTTCAATTACTTATGGGTAAACATTTATTTTTTATCATAAAGTAGACATCTTTCACAAGAATGGTAGATACAGAATTCTGGAATTAAAGGGATTAGATCTCAAGGTAGTTATGAGCTGATTTCTTACTTTCATTGGTTTAGTAGGTACATCAATTGTTATTATAAACACTTGAGGTATATTCAGCTATTTATTTGCATAGTGGTGGGAGATTTAAGTGAAATTGTAGGTTTTTAAAGTTATGAGTGAAGAGGGGCCATTTATTTCTTCTTTTAATGATTAAGATATCAATATGATATTTATTTTATTATTTATGAATACGGAATGCTTAGGATTGTTTGTTTTGTGAATATCCGAATGTTTAAAATCTACTTTTATTCAAATATTTAAAAATATATATATTATTCAATAAATTAATTAAAATATTATATGTCCACAAAATTTATTGTAAGATAGTGGCATAGTAGTGATAGTTGATAGTGGTGGTAATCACTAATTGTTATGGTGGTACTAGTTGACATCAATGAATAGTTGTGGTGGTTGTTGGCGGTGGCTGGCGATGGCTGGTGTTTATCAACGATCGTGGTAATGATAGCGATAGTGGTGGTAGTGATTATTGCGGTGGTATAGGTGATTGATGGTAGTTGCTAGTAGTTGCGATTGTTGAGAATAGTGGAGTGATGGATAGCCATGCTCATAATTGTGATAATGAAGGTGGTTAATGATAGTGATTGGTCGTGGTGGTAAGTGTGCGGTGATGATAGTGGGTAATGTTTGTGGAGAAAAGTAGCGGTTAAAAGTTATTTTTGCAAAAATCTTTAATTGAAATAGTCTCTTAATAATTTTAAGACTTTTGTTTAACATTAGAATAATTGACTCTAAAAGCAAATGAGATGATTTAGATTACATCAGGCATTCCTCAGAGAAAAGAGTAGAATCAAAAGAAAGAGCCCTAGCATATGCGAGTGAGATTTGCTACAGCTAGTGTTTTACCAAAAAATGTTAAACATTTTCTTAAAACGAATTAATAAGAAAATAGGGGGTGAATCCTAGTTAAATATAATAACTAATATATCTGAAAACTTAATGCATTAACGATGTAGGATCGTACCCGATAATATTGAATGTCGATTAAGAATGTTCAATGATTGTCACTGAATGCAATAAAGAAAGCCTGGAATGAATATAGATAATGTCAATAAATGTAATAAGGAGGAACTTGTCACCTAAATGTTAGATGACTTGTATGATTCTCCTTCCTGACAACAACCTGGGGACAATATAATATGAAGGTGGACAAGAGATCCTTGGATCTTATGAGTAAAAGATATATGT